AGAGAGCGAAAGAGAGAGCATCAGAGTAAGATTCTAGTTTTTTTTTATTCTGATTCTGTTCATGCAAATTGTCGATGACCTCCTGAATATGTTCGTATCTATTATATGTGACTATTTATCTATTTATCTGTCTGTCTATCTATCTATTTATCTGTCTACCTATATATCTCTATTTATATGTAGTTATTAAACCAAACACACACACACACACACACACACACACACACACACACACACACACACACACACACACACACACACACACACACACACACACACACACACACACACACACACACACACACACACACACACACACACACACACACACACATACGTGTATATATATATATATATATATATATATATATATATATATATATATATATATATATATATATATATATATATATATATATATGCTCACAGGTCCACTTAGACCAGAATGGAGCACCTGTCAGGGTCCCATCTATGGGAGAAATAAAATAAGGACCGAAGGGATTTCTCAGCCTTGGCCGAGAACCCTTCTAGGGACTTAACAGCACCACTGCCAGGGAAGGCAACGGGAAACCTCCCTGACTGATCTTCCCCTTGTGTTTATGGCAGACGTCTCAGGAAACGGCTCTCAGTCCCATGGAAAAGACAGGGTAAGTTAAGTGAATTAACATTTGCGCTACTCTGTGTCGAGGTGGATCTGGGAGCAATGGTGGCTAAAAGGTGGCTCCAGACTCCTCAGGACAAGAAACCCACTACCGGATGCAGTTTCCTACCCAAGAGTAAATAAATAAAAAATAAATAAATTATAAATAAATATATGTATATGTGTGTGTATATAAGTGTATATATCTATATCTATATCTATATCTATATATCTATATCTATATCTATATCTATCTATATGTATATATCTATATCTATCTATCTATCTATCTATCTATCTATCTATCTATCTATCTATATATATATATATATATATATATATATATATATATATATATATATATATATGTATATATGTATATGTATTCATGTATGCATGTATATACACACACAGAAAGATAAATCAATGAACAGAAAGAATTACTTTCCTATAAAGAGAGAGAGAGAGAACGAGGCTATTTTCATCCCAAACCCGTAACAGCATTTACATGGAATTCCTGCGCCGCCCAGACAGGATATCCAACGGCGTGACGAGAATGACCGGCGTCCGTACGTCCTTCGCTCTGTACTTGTTATGTACGTGTGCAACGGTGAAGGGTTGCGGGAGGGGGGAGGAGGGAGGAACTGAAGAGGAGGAGAAAGCGGAGGAAGAAGAGGGAGATGGGAAAAAAAGGGGGATGAGGAACGTGAAGAAGAGGGTGGAAAGAGAAAATGAGGATGAAGAGGAAGAAAAAGAATGGATAAGGGGAAAAGAAAAGGAATCAGAAAATGGATTGGGATATGGAAAAAGGGAGGAGGCTGAAAAGGAATTAGAGAAAAAGAAATGGAAAGAAATGAAGGAACCATCGGAGGGGAAGAAGGTAAAAGAAAAAGACGAAGAGGAAGAGAGGATGAAAGAAGGAAGAGGAGTTCGGAAAAGAAATAAGAGAAAGAAGTGACAGAGGAGAAAAAATAAGTGGAAAAGGAGAAGAAAGGGTAGAGAAAACGAAGGTTGCGGAAAAGAAAAATGAAGAAAAAACAAAAAATGGAAAAAAAAGACAAAAAATAAAAGGAAAAGTAACACAGTAAAAGCGAGAAGTGAGAAGAGTGTAAAAAAAGAAAGAAAGAAAGAAAGAAAAAAAAGGAAAAGAAGGTAGAGGAGAAGCAGAGACAGAAAACGAAGGCAACGAGGAAGAAAATGGGACAGAAAATGAGGTGAATCTGATACATGACAAAAGCCTTCGTCAAATATCAAGATGCACCAATACAGGAAATGCTACTTTTTTGTCCTTATTTCTTCCCCGTCTCCTGCTTATTCCTACTATGGTGTTTTCCTCTTTTTCTTCTTCTTCCTCCTGAAAATACGCAGACGAAGTTGGTTTACAAGGAATCGGATTGTAAACTTTTAAAATGTACCTTCTTTTATAGAGTAAGGTTAAACACTACATTAAACTTAATCATCCGAATTAAAGGAAGATGACGAATTAAGCTGTGCAAATGTCCGGAATACAGGCAGAAAGAAATGAAAAACAAAAGAATGGGTATACCAGCGATATCAGAGAATGATAAAAATATATATGCTAAGATCGAATACAAATATATATATATATATATATATATATATATATATATATATATATATATATATATATATATAGAGAGAGAGAGAGAGAGAGAGAGAGAGAGAGAGAGAGAGAGAGAGAGAGATAATCTAGATGAATATATACATTATCTAGATGAGAGAGAGAGAGAGAGAGAGAGAGAGAGAGAGAGAGAGAGAGAGAGAGAGAGAGAGAGAGAGAGAGAGAGAGAGAGAGAGAGAGAGAGAGAGAGAGAGAGAGGGGGGGGGGGGTGCAGGGAGCGAGTGTAGGGTTCTCTGCAGTATGGTGGAGGTCAATAGTTTTTTCTAACTTTCTTTTTATATTTCTCTCCCATCCTGCGACCTCGAGTTGAAAATCCCTGACCTATAGCTTCAAGACTCTGAAGGAAGATGACGAATTAAGCTGTGCAATGTCCATCACACAAACAGATGGAAAAAGGTGAAAATAGGTGAAAAACAGTGATGCACAGAGTACATTTCAGGAGTTAGAAGATACCTTCTGGACATGAAATCCTCAAGTGAAAGGAAGACTTCTGAGCTATATATCAATGATTAGATAATGCTCTTTTTATTTTATATTTTATTTTAATATTCTTATCCATTGTGTGTTATAGTGATGTATTTTTTCTGCTTCTAATTTTATATTAGTCTATATCATATACATCAGTATAATGAATAAAACTTTGAAAATGACATATTATGAAATATATTAACACACTTTTTGCATTAGGTTACATCTTATATATATAAGAATTCTGCATATTTTCCTTTCAAGATTACTTAAAAGTCTTCAGAAAGGACACACAAGGGACGTTAGAAATATCACCTGTTATGATGAGAGACTCTTTCAACAAAAAACAATTTTCAGATACCAGGAGCACTGCAGTTTACACATCGGTGCAATAACCTTATTTCTGTTCAATTTCTTCCTAATATTAGAAAGGAATCATGAATATGCAAATTGCTTTTTTATCAATTCATGAAAACAACGTATCTTACCTGTTATCACATTCCTTCTTTTCTTTTATCAAATGTTGATAAAGATCCTAAATTATCTGATCTGACTGAGCCAGTGGTTAACATGGGATGCCTTATGGTGGAAGATTTCTAGAAGAGCAGTTTTAAAGAGAGGAATCAAATAGATTAGCATTTGGGGTCTTAGGAGGAGGAGGATATTAGGGAAGGAGAGAAAAAGGTGAGGGAGGGAGGTGGTGAGGGAGGGAAGGAAGAAGTGTGAAGAGGGACAAAAGGAGGGAAGAGGGAGGGAGGGAAAGAGGGAGGGAGAAAGGGAGGGAGGGAAGGAAGAAGTGTGAAGAGGGACAAAAGGAGGGAAGAGGGCATGGATAAGGGGTGGGTGAGAGGAGGGGTGAAGGTGTTATGAGAAGAGGGAGGGAAGGAAGGAAAGAGAGTAACAAGGAGGGAGGGAATGAAGGAAGGAGGGAAGAAAGGGTGTGGTGAGGGATGAAAGAAGGGAAGAGGGTTGGGAAAAGGGGAGGAAGAGGAAGGAACTGAAGGAAGGAGGAAGGGAAAAGGGGAAATGAAAGGAGGGGGATGAGGCAGTATGAGAGGAAGAGAAGGAGGGAGGAGGCAAAGAGGGAGAAAGCAAGGAGGGAAAATAGGAGACGAGGAACAATGAGAGGAGGGGAAAGTGGGAAGAGGGGAATGCAAGGAAGTGGGTTAGGGGAAGGAGGGCTGAGGGGAGGGCAAGTGAAGGATAAGGGAAGGAGGAGGAGGAGGAAAAAAGGGGTGGATAGACAAGAGAAGGTGAAAGAAGGGAAGAATGAGGGGCAGGATAAAAGGTGGAAGGAGGGGATGAGGGAAAAGTGGGAATGTGGGATAAAGGGAGGGAATTGGGGAAAGAGGGGAAACAGGAAAAATGGAAAAAAGGTTAAGATGAGGTGGAATGGGTGAAGCAAACAGAGGAAGAAGGGAAAGAGAGGAGAAGGGAAGAGGGAAAATAAGTGAATACAAACAAAGAGGAAAAAGAGAAAGGAGGATGAAAATGAGACTCAAATAAATTGAATGTCAAACTGCCATAACAATAAAAAGGTGTGCTAATAAAAGACACAGTAACTGGTGAAATCTTTAATAATTCATTACAGATATCAAGTAATTGCAAGAGAAAAGGGTGAAAAAAATCACAATAAAGACTTTTCCCCCATAGATCACAAAACTATATAACCGTCCTATAAAAGAATGACGTTATAAACATCACAAAATTGGAAATGTTCCGATGACACAAAAATGGACTAGTTCCCCTACACATAGTATTTTACAGAGACTCTTTTTCTTTCTATTCTTGTTCTGTAGGTCATCGTCGCAATTTTCTTTCTACTCTGAATTCTGCTTTCCATACAAAGGAATATGAACAAGAAGAAGATAAAGCAGAAGAAGAAGAAGAAGAAGAAGAAAAAGAAATGATCTACTGTATTACTTTTTTTTTCCTATAGTAATTTTTAAAAAGACATTGAAATAGATTTTTCTTTTACAAATACAATGACCTATTCTGCAATTTCCATGTGCAGATGTAGACTCTTTGGTGCAAAACAACCATGGAAACAAACAAACAATGAAGAAATGAGGTTCAACAGTAAGATTTACACAAAAAAGTTAATTTCTTATAGATGTGTGTGTGGATATATGTATGTGTGGATATATGTATATGTGGATGTGTGTGTGTGTGTGTGTGTGTGTGTGTGTGTGTGTGTGTGTGTGTGTGTGTGTGTGTGTATGTGTGTGTGTGTGTGTGTGTGTGTGTGGATATGTGTGTGGATATGTGTGTGGATATGTGTGTAGATATGTGTGTGGATATGTGTGTGGATATGTGTGTGTGGATATGTGTGTGGATGTGTGTGTGTGTATAAATTTAAATATATATTCATTTATTCTATATCAGGGCTGGCATATACAAAAACAAAAAATTTACCTCATAAATCTGCTTTAAAAAAGGCTCTTTAAATCAACATACTGCACTTAAGCCAATGATGTTGGGAGTGCATGCATACATATACTGTCCACTGTAGTTTTTACCTTTATTACTGTTACTGTAGTAAATAACATTATAATAATATTATCAATAATGGTTATATCAATGTTAATGATAACAATAATATCAGAAATATAAGCACTTTTCCTGAAAATGTAAGGGATGGGGTGAACAGTAGAGTTAGTAGGCATAGTAATGGACTAAGTGGTCTTGAAGTCTTCTACAGAACAAAACTACAGTGGGCTGTGCATGTATCTAGCACTAATGGGTTTAACTGCACATACAAATATTAATAAATTAGAGAAAACAACATCTTTACATAAAGAATATCTACTCATGGGGTACATAAGAGTTCTTTGCAATGGTTGTTGATTCTGAATATATACTGCTGTCAGTAAACACTTTCTTTCTTATTTTCTGTAAAAGTAGTTACTTATAAAAGCAATCTTCAACAAACTACATACGCATATCACACCATTAAAAGGAAACTGTGGGAGGCAGTCAGCATAATCTTGAGTCCCTAAATCTGTTCTCAATTGTCCAGATACTTAATAAGGTGTTTTGTAACTCAAGGACCCCGAGCCACTTTATCACTTAAATATACCTTCATCACAAGAGAATAATCATAAAAAGTTTTACTGCTGGTTCTGAGTCTCAAGTCTGAGGCAGGAACCACACGTGAAAACACCTTCACCTAACTAAAAAATAATGAATATCCCTCCATCTGCCTCATAGAGAGCATTGAGGCATTTTTGATGAATTATACCCCATCTCCACTTTTGTAGGAATTTTGTTTTTTATTAATATATGAGCTTGCTAAGTTGAATTTTGTGAGGTAATCAGAAAAAAATTGCACACACTGAGGTGTCAGCCCAGATGGTGTATCTCACAAACAGATCTGACTGGTTTTCTTTTTGAAGAGTGTAAATTCACTAATAATTCTTTTGCAAGCTAGGTAAAACCACAGTTATCACATCAGTTCTTTACCATCCCTTTTTTTTGTCAGTCAATATAACTGCATTCTGTTCTTTGGAAACACAGGCGCATCATGTATATTCTACCTGCCTACATTAATATTTGTTAATCTATCTGTTAATTTATCTACCTGCCAGTCTACCTATCAATTAGGTGATCTAATTATCTATCTACACAATTTAAGCATATATAATGACTCATCACCTCCAAATTATCTGTAGACTAGCATCTCATATAATCTTCATGCTGGAACTAATAAAAAGTTTGGCCACCCTTGAGTTAAATTAGCACCAAATGCTATAAAAGAAGGCCCCTCTTGCAAGCAGGCCTTTTTCTCCAGTATCTACAGTGATGACACACAACTGTGATTCAAAAAACAGATATGAAAGAAAGCAAGAATTAGTAGTATGTATAGTCCAAGGTAATTCTTTAGTTCATTTTCAGTAATTCAAATAATAATGGCAAGAAACAGTAATGAATATTTGAAGCATTTAGTCATTTTTGAATAACAATATAGCAACAGTATGCTTCAGTTCTCACCTATAACCCCATACATCTTATGACTCACTGCTCAGCATATCTGTTCCCCCACTCTTCAGTATATCTGCTTAATACTGACCCACAGTCCTGTACATCTGCTGGCCCACTACCCAGCATCTAATGACTCACTACACAGTAATCTGCCAACCCATTGTCCTTTACATCAACCAACCCTGTGTCTAGTACATCTGTGTGTTGACCCAACAGTAGTTGCCCATCTGCTGCTCAATAATTGACAGTACAGGGATGATGAAACACAACAATGAGGCCTTTTTTTGCACCAACCTGTCAACTATGTCCACACACAAAACTCTTAATGTTGCCATATTATGTTAAAGCATAAATCTAAAGACCTCAATCACATGCCCAGATATGTCTCGGGGTCCTTACATTATGGTATAAGTTTAGATTTCTATTATGTGAGGATTAGTTATTCTGATTATAGTATTTTTACTGAACTATATAAAACATACAGATGAGGATAAAGTCCAGATTCCATTATTCAGGCTTAGCCCTGGTCCCTGAGCTGCCAAGCCTTCCATTTCGGTTACATCATAATTACACTGTGCCAGGTTAGGTCGAGCCTGGCAACAAAACATCTAAAATGATGTTAAAATTATGTAATAGACAATCATGGATTACAGATCCTGGTTGATTGCAATAGATTAGCAGGATTTTGGTAAAGAACACTCTATGTGTAATACCCCAGGTTCTCTAGATAGCATGCCCAGACCTGACCAAAAGAAGGATATCCTAGGCTCAAGTCTGGTTCCAGAGTTTGATGGGACTACTATAATCCACGCTAAGTTACTGGCAAATATCCAAATGGCAGTGATCCATCCAGTACCAACAGGAGTCATTATTCTTATTTTGCATATAAAATATTAAACCAAAGTACCACGTTATAGAATATCTGGCAAGATAAAATACAAGTATTAAAAACATTGCACATGAATTCATCAACAACTGTAATAGTGCCTAAAATGGTCTATTTCCCTACAGAGTGCACAGTTTCACAATTTGTACAAAATAGCCAATGAGAGGCTTGTCAAGCCAATACAAGAAAAACAAAGAGAACCCAAGACAACGTAAATAGAATGACTTATCTTAACCCTTTGAGTACCTGACTTGACATTCATTCTCTAAAACTATACCAGGCAGCTGGTCAGTGCTTGTATGCTGGTACAGTTGCAGGAGTGGGACCAAGCCATTTTGCACCTTTTAAAAAAGCTGGGGAAGGAAGGCTTTACATAGTTCTATATACACACACATACTGTATACATTTGTTCAGATGTCTGATTTATTCTTTTACCATTACTTTTTTTGCTTTCTTGTTTGTTGTTCACTGTACTGTCAACAAGTCTGTAGTCTTCTAATTGTAAAGTTAGCATGATAATATCTGTGATGATTCATAATCAACTTAGTCCCTTTTTCAATAGGCCTCCACTAGAAAACACAATAATAGGTCCTTGGATGCTTGCTAACTAAAGGAGGTACAGGATCTCAGTTTGTAAGCATATAAGGTTCTCCCTAATCACCATCTACCACCATCAGACATGTGCAACATCCTAAGACTTTAAACTCTCCATGTATTGCCTATACCCTCTTGAAGCCCAGTACACCAGCTAACATGAGGGGTAGAATATCACAAATGATTTATTTCACCAGTCTGGTATGCCCTGATGCTCTCCTTGGGGTGTGTCTCAGTGCTTTCTTCTCTGTAAGTGTTATTCACCTAGCAGCTATTGGTTTCTAAGGCTGTATCCTACTTTCACTGCAGCTCTTGTGTGTAAAGATGAGTAATACATGTATGTATTCATTCTTTATAAATGATTATTGTAATTTTTTCTAAATTAACAAAATATTATTTTTTGGTCAAATAAAGGTACTCAAAGTGTTAAAAAAGTGACTTGGTATTGAAGCTAAGTTTACAATTCTTTGCTGGTTAACAGAGTACTCTTCTTATTGCACTGTTTATAATAATAGGCCTATTAAGTCTCCCCATCTTTATGAAGACTTGTCAACTCTTTACCAAACTTTTTAATACTGTTCTGCTTACCTCTCCAATTCTACCTACATTTGAGAAACAATCAATTTAAATCAAATTTTTATTCATGTTCATAAACACCCTGATTTCTTCCAACCCTGATACAAATATACATATAAAGTTACATATATGTGAGTGTGTGTGTGTGTGTATGTGTGTGTGTACGTGTGTGCATGTATATCTCTTAATATATACATAATATATACATATAGATATGTAAATAAACATCCATAAAAATGCACACACATACACCACACACACACAAACATGCACACACACACACACATGCACGTGAATGGATGTGAATCAACAATTAGAGACACCACTATAAGGTGATGTTATGAAACATACAACCTCAAACATACATCAAACATCCAAAAAACAAAACAGAAAAACTTTCTTTCCATAAACACTAAAAGACAAACCAAGTGTTCTGGATCTAAGTGGATAGCTGCACTGCAGGTAGTGGAGACTATTGAAAACTCAAAGCTATAAAGAAAAGTAGGGAGGGGAGGAAAAGGGATGGGAATGGAAAAGAGTGGAGAGTGAAGAAGAGAGGCGAGGACAGAGGAAAGGGGAGGAGGGAAGGATGAGGATAGATGAGAGATAGGGGAAGGAGGAGGCAAAAAGAATGAGAAAGAGAGAGAGTAGAGAGGTGAAGGAGGAAGAGAACGGGTGGGGTGAAGAGGAAGGGGAATGCATTTCTTGACAGAGCACTGCATGATCCTAGCCTGCCACATGCAAGATAACAATGAATACTTGAAGAATAAAGTGTCCAGATGTTGGGCATCAATCTGCTCCTTCCTTTGATCTGCCCAAAAAGCTCAGTGATATGAAGTCAAAAACTTCTCTTGTATGTGTGTGTGCCTGTGTGTCCTTGAGTGTGTCTGGGTGTGTTCTGACTACACTTACTCTATACAAAAGTCCTATGTCTATTGAAGGAAGAAGAAAAAAGTGTACATTGAGCCTCGAGTGTTACAGTAATGCTATTAATAAAAGGGTATGGTCCACAGGGCACTCTGCTACACTTTTCCATTTGAAAATGAAATACACACCTCTGGCTGTGGTAACTATCTCAAAGTAAAAAGTCTCTTGCCTTCTTTCTTTCCTCTTAATATTCAAAAATGTAAATCAATTGAGACAATTTTTCATTCTTTCATTTTCTTACATGTAGGCATTTTCCCTTTTCCAATCCACAAGGCACCCTTCCAAT